TTAGAGCTGCTTATTGGGGGAAACATGCAAAGGAAAGTTTACCAACATAAATAAATAACACAGGAGAATACAATCCAATGAAGACTTCTCAAACCATGGGGATTGGATTAAACCACAATCTTTATTTAATTCCTGACAACTCTAATTTGTTCTTATGAGATCAATCATGAGAATTGTTACAAGTTACGTTTGAACAAGATGAAGGAAAACATAGATGTATAAAAATGTTAAGGGGATAGGATATATATTAAGATCTGCTAGTCCAGCACACGTTATCCCAGGTACAAGTCGTCACGCTAGAAATAAAAGGCTAAAACTCACTCACTGTCTTCTGTGGGAAGAACCTGCAGGGAGTAAATCCACTCTATCACATCATCTTTGTCCACCACGTCTAAGGAATCCAGCATATCCAGTCCGGAGAGCGCAAAAAATGCAACTGTCAACCTAAAAGAAAAAATGTGAAATTCCAGCTTCACTACTAAGCCACTGAACTCTTTCCGCTTCAGAAAAATAATTAATTCAATCTAATTTTTACGAGACTTTTAACAATACTCCAACCATGCAAATGTCAATGCAAACAATTTATTCTTTTTATTAAAAATATCAGTCAAACTTTTGTTTTAATTTTTAAAGGGATCGTTAGTAGTTAAGAAGAGAAGGGGGAAAAATCCTTCTCTACCGAGGCAAACATGAATTCATTGAAGCTAATATATCAGCAACCTTGAAGGCTAAAAATAAAAATGAAAATTTGCTGCACTTGTTCAATACAAATACTCATAAAAGACTAGGAAATATCTAAAAATCTCCATTTTTATTCATTAGCCATGAAAATTATGTTTAATTATACTTAATTCTTGAGGAAAGTCAGAACAAATGGCCTTTATTCAAATTTGCTTTGAGTCATGTGATTTCTTACAAAAAAATTTAAAACAAACTTTGAAAAACAGTAACACTTTTTTTTTAAACATTTTATTAGGGGCTCATACAAATGTTATCACAATCCATACACACATCAATTGTGTAAAGCGCATTTGTACAGCATTCTCAAAACATTTTTTCTCCACTTAAACCCCCGACAT